AATCTTTGAGGAAAAGTTTGAGCCATCAAAAAGCAGCTAGCCAGTAGTAGGCAGGGGCCGTTGCTCGAAATTGTGGGCCCCCTAACAAAATGTCACCTTCGGCGCCCCCCTGCCCAATGAAATTCATGGTTATTTTGTATTCAAGGGTCCTTGTAAAGTGCTGGGCCCCCGGAATCTGCCTGGGTATCCAGGCCCCCCCTGGTAGCCGGGAAATCCGGATCCTTCAAGAAAACCAGTTACAGTTAATGACCTTTGTATTTTTAAATGATTTTATTACCTGATGTGTTTAAAAAGGAATCCCTGGGTATTTTTCTGCTCAAAGCCACATCTGCACTCTTAACACAAAAATACAACAAAAAATGATGTGGCTGTATTTTTTTCCTGCTGCTTTGCATATTATAATGCAAATTTCACTGTTAATCTCAGTAGAGTCCCAGGGGGGTATTTTTAAGGGTAATGTTCTCTGGTCTGTGATTTAGCAGTGCGTGGCATGCAGAAACGATTAGCAAGAAAGTGACAAATTGCGCAATTATGCATTTAAAGGTGGGTGTATGTTTGTGTGAGTGTGTGTGTATATAAGCGTGAGCATTAGACAATAACCTTTGCTCATATTAACCATGTTTATTTCCAAATTGCGGAAATGCAGTAACCTATTCTGCTAGTTCACTGACACTTAAAATGTGCTGCTGGAGCCAACACTGATTGTTTAATTAAAAGAATCCTCACTCAGGTCACTCGTCATGGGCAGATGGTCTGTGAATGTTTGTCCTGTGTAGCTGCTGGAGCGCAGGCAGGAGAGCTGGTGCGCCGTGTGACCGTGTGACAAACATGTAGAATGAAATTTTGTTTAATATGCCCAAGTTCTTTTTGCATATTCAGCTTTGCTCACCTTTTGAGATGTAATTAGGGCAGTGCGATATGATATGAAAAACGTCTTTCCTTCCATATTATTCTCTATCGTTTATTTTGTGGTGTCACAAAAAACACTGTTTACGGCAACATTTTTTCATCATTTGGATGACTGTTTGCGAAGTTAAACGCCAAAACGTGGGACTTGTATGGAAGTTTTTATCGGACTTTATTATTTGTAACTAACTGAAGACAATCCACAGATATGTACCAAGATAAATGACTATCCACAAATATGTATCATGATCCACAAATATTTAACTATGTGTAAATACTGTATATATTTTTAAATTTGTGTTGTGTAACATCATATCTACAAAAATATCATACGATTTATACACATAAAATGTGTTTTGCACATTTGTGGATCACATCCTGTCTGTTTGTGGACTGCATTATTTGTGAATTCCTTCCTTTTGATTTGCGGATTTTTGTCCAGTTCTTACTACTATAGTTAAAATCACTGACGGTGAATGGACAGAGTGCAATTATTAATAAATACGTATAAAAACACATAATATTAAAGCTACATGGTATGCATTGTCCCCCATAGTCTTAATGCTTAAATCACTCTTAACTGGACATGTCTGTATTGTTCAGGTTAGTACTTTAGTCCATTTATTCTATGTTTCGTACTTTAACCGGACACAGTACAGTCATTATTAGTAACGCAAAACTATTGCAAGGGAACATGAAAGTGTTGCATGGGAATGCAAAAGTATTAAAAAACTATTTTCCCACCCCGACCTCTTTGGGGTTCTGTATGAATGTCACGTTGCACAGGCTCTTAATTAAAAACAAAAGTGTGCTTTAATCATTCTTTTCAGCATTAACTGGACCTGTCTGTATCGCTTAGGGTTACTCTTATTAGCCCATTAATGCTGTCTTTTGTACTTTAAACAGACACAGTAGTAATTAGTAACGGGACAGTATGACAAGGGAACTCAAAACTATTAAAAAAAATATTTGCCCAGCCAGGCCTCTTTGGGGCTCCGTATACCACAGCTCTTTAGAAGAGAAATCACAAATACATCACTATCCACAAGCTGGATCTATTCTTTCTCTTTATTTGTGGATTTTTTGCCCAACTTCTGCTGCAGCTGATCTGTAGGGAAAAATGCATAAACATGAGGTGCAGCCTTGGTATACATTATTATTATCATCATTATTGGGGTGATGAGATGACTTGTATCAGTATATATAGATTTTGGTGATATTGTACAGCCCTATATATAATGTATGAGATTGAGGCTTGGGGGTCAAGAGCAGGTCCAGGCCAATTATCTGCCTCCCTCCCCCTGGAGTATTTTGGGGCTTGAGGATGTTGCTCATGGGCCTGGAAGACATGTGGTTGTCTTGCAGTGGAGGGGATTTGAACCAGCAACCTTCTGATCGCAGCCACAGAGGCCTAATCCATCTAGCCACACACCACCCCTTTATAATGCTTCTGAGAAGGTGGGCACAGTGCAGTTCTGACCCATTAAGGCGTCATAGATGTAGGGCAGGCCAAGATAACCTGAAAAGGGCTGTTTGTTCCTTAACTAATGTCCAGGTGCCTGTATTAAAGCACCCCCCCCCCACCCCCCACCCCGTGAGCCCTCAGCACTATGCTGACAGCCCCCTCTCCAATTAACACCCCCAGCTGCTCCTCTGAATGCTCTTTGCTTAGCAGAATCCTTCTAGCTGCTTGCTTAGCTTTTACTTCTGTCATGTTGGCCGTCCAGGCATTTATTTGACTGCTTTCGGGCCGACTGTGTTGCTTGGAGTCTGTGTCTGCACACCTGAGGTTTTTAAGATGCTCTCTGGTCCCATTAGCGCTGTGATTACCGACCCATGAAGGCTTTGCATGTTGATCCTCTGAATCACTCAACTCCAGCAGGTAAGCTGGGATTCAGCTAGGAAATGCTGGGAGTCCCGGTCTGGCGGACTGGGAGAGAGATTTTGTGTTTGGGCCGCTTCTGGTCTCTGTCTTTGGGTGCATGTGTGGGGTTCCTGCCCAGAAAAGCCCAGTCCAGTGGTGCTGAACAGGTCTTGCGCTTCTATCTGCTGTCCACTTGGACCAAATGATGTTTTGTAACTAACTTTCTGTCTCTCTGTCTGTCATGCATATACAGTATGATCCCGTTATAACAGACTTTAAGGGACTTGGCAAAACAGTCCGTTATATCCAGAGTTGCTGTATGCGCAGAACACTGACGGACACCGACAGGATTCATGGTGTTCATGTGTTTCTTTTAATGACAGCATAACAGCAGACAAAAAACACAGATATTATTGTCTGCTTTTCATTTCTATTTAGTTTGTTTAAAAGGACAATGTATAGACCTGTTCTATAGGAAAGGTAACCTTAAATGACTTCTGTTGTGATCTGGTGATATAGAAA